CATGAACCATATTGCGCCAGGCCTTCCTGTCCTTCACTGCCTCCCTGAGTTTGCTCAGTTTCATGCTCGGTTAAAATTTATACTGTGTTATAATTTGAAGGAGAATTTCTATAAAATGATGTATAGATGGTATTTGTCACCAGAAAGATTATCAAAAATGTACAAAGGGGTTTCAAACATATGTTGTAAATGTGAACAACAAGAAGGGACTTTTTATCATCTTTGGTGGACATGTAATAAAGCTAAAAAAATTTGGACCCAAATTCAACATATGTTGTAAATGTGAACAACAAGAAGGGACTTTTTATCATCTTTGGTGGACATGTAATAAAGCTAAAAAAATTTGGACCCAAATTCAACATATGTTGTAAATGTGAACAACAAGAAGGGACTTTTTATCATCTTTGGTGGACATGTAATAAAGCTAAAAAAATTTGGACCCAAATTCAAGTATTAATTCAGAAGATTTTGAAGGTTAATATACAGTTAAAACCAGAGATTTTCCTTTTGGGACTGATGGACAATTGGAAAAAGCTCATGGACCTTTATTTTTATGTATGATATCTGTAGCTAGACTTTTATATGCTCAAAGATGGAAAGATTCGACATTACCCACAATGTAAGAGTGGATCGTGAAGATGACGGAGTTACCTGAGATGGCAAAATTGATAGCTTTGCTTAGAGAAAAAACATTTGACTAACTTTAATGCCAGTTGGAACCCCCTTTCAGACTTTTTGCAGGAGACAGAAAAAAAAATGAAATTATGATATGTGGATTTGATGATTAGTTAAAATAATAGGTTATACAAAATATGTATGTCAAGATGTAGTTTTATAGTAAGAGGTCATTATATGATTTATCTTTATCTGCTGTATAAGAAGTCAGAAGTCATTCTTTTTGTAATTTTCTCTTCTTCCCTTTTCTTTACTTTTCATCACTTTTGTATTCTTTATTTCTAACTCTCTTATTCTCTACTTCTCTCTTAGATTATTGGTTCTTGTTTGCTTTTATCTTATGCTTTTTATAACTTAATAAAAAATTTATATAAACTTTTAATAAACTTCTATATCAACTTTTTAATAAAAAAATTATCCTATTAAGGAAGAAAAAGGTTTTCTACTTTTCTACTTACCAAATATTTTCTGGTGCTCTTCTGTACAGTAATCAGCACTTGCTGGAGAATTGTTTCCTCGAATATCTTGATTTTTAATTTCTAAGTAGTTGTAGGAGCCTATTTGAATTCCAGTGCTATTATATATGTTGTAGTGTGCAGGTTCTTCTGATTATGAGGAAATGTTTTTTTTTTTAAAAAAAAGTGTAAAGTCAGAGAAACAAAAACACAAGGGGGCAACAGGAATAAATAAATACCAAGCTGTGGGTTAACAGATATTTGAAATTTAAATAGTATTTTTGCATAAGGTGACAAAGGTATAATTTCTTCTCCTGAACTCTAAGGGCAGATTCAAAGAATCGTCTTTGTCTTTTAAGGGAGTTGGTTAGTATAGTCAATATGCCAGTGGTTTAATTTAATTTAATTAATTTAACTTCAATGTGTTGAAATCATAGCATATTTGAAAGCTTCATTTATAATCCTCATGCTTTCAAAGGGCATATCAACGGCTCCACCTTCCACCTGAACAAGTATTTCGAAAAAAGCCTTTAAGGCATCCATGCCCATCATGCTATTCCCTTCCAGGGTAGGCAAAATTATGCACAGCGGAAAAGGAGGATGAAGCAGCAAGCCAAAGAAATTAAAAACATGAGATAAGAAAAAGAAATACCGCCAAATCTAATTTACACCAACACCATTCATCATCTCTCTCTATCCTTTCTATTCTATTTTAGCCTTGTTCCATCACATCTATACACCCCTTCATACCCCACCTTTTGTTCCTGAAACTTCCCACCTCTCTCTTTTTCAGGATCCCATTAACTCCATCCACCCCCTATTTTCTCAGTCTCCCCCTTCTTCTTGGTACTTTTGTTCTTCCTTCATCCAGTTGTTTAGTGACGCAGTTCTCATTCATTCATTCATTCATTCATTCATTCTCTCCACATGGTAACCCTTTACAATGGCTTAGTTTAGCAGACATCAAATGCAACGAAGTCAGTTCACCTCTTCGTGCACTCATAAAATCCCATTTGCTGTTTAAGAGGCGTTCTGCCAAAAACCTTCCCAGGCATACTTAGCAACAGATTATACAGCTTGACCTTTGCTCTGTGACCATTAATGGATTAGATGTGATCTTAGCCAAGGGTCTCAGTGCTCTGAATAAACTCTGTCAGAAGCATTGTAAGACAGTCATGAGATAACACACTCAAGGAGCATTCCAAACTCTTTGTGGAAGAGTTAAATGGCAGACGTTAGATGGAAAGGCCCCCTTCCAGTAATATTCTGGTCCTTTCCAAATAGCCAAATATGGCACCAAGGAAGCCCCAGTTTGGCACTAAACTACACTACTCCACTTCCTTTCCCCATGGTTTGCCATTTCCTCCTCCTGTCGGTCAGTCAGCATTCAGCAACTGGCCTGTACTGAGTTATATTAAGGTGTTTCAACTTGTTGTAAAATTAAAATAGATGCTTCAATGTGTAGCATCATAAGGTGAGATGCTTTAAAATCAGCCTCCCACCATGCCACAATCCATGATTCAGCGGCTATTTTGGTTGCTGGTGGGAATGTAACTTTTAGTTTAAACACATTTGGAGGGCAACCAGATTGGAGAAGGCATTTTTCAAGCCTGAGAGTTACCAGCTACTTTGATTTGTTCACCTTAATAGGTGAGGGCTGTAACAAATATGCAATCATATGATCGCCCTAAGATTCTGTATTTATTACAGTGTTCCTGTAAAGAAGGAATTCCATATATGGGGTGCCAAGTTTCAGATGAAGACTAGATGGCAGCCTAGAGATAGAGAAAAGTCTTAACACTTCACTGCCACCTAGCTGTCATCTGGCGTTTTGTGGCCCAGACATGGTATGTACACCATTAAAAGAATGCATCTCAAGAAAACATTTTACTTGTTTGGTTTACCTGTCGGTGTTCTGCCCGTAAAAGGATGTGCAAAGTTGAATTTTCTAAAAGGAATCGACTCCATGGGATCTAAAAAATTGTACAAATTGTTTCAGAATTATGCCATTGTCACAGTTCTTGACATCTATAACCTTTAACAGTATAAAACACAGCTGTTTCTATGATTAACCAAGTGAAAATCTGAGTGATGGTAATGGTACTCTGACCTTTAGTAGGCTGGTAAAAAATGACTCTTCCCAATGGGGCAACGTAATCTTCCAGTGGTATGTATGCAAGATTGACTGTTACAGAGTCCTGTTTCCAGCTCTCTACCTGGCCAGAGAATCTTCTGTTATGCATTTGGTCTATGCAGTGTTTTAGAATCAATTTTAGAAAGATGCTTTGAAGTGCACAAGAGTGCCAACACAGCATCCATCTGCCACACTTTAAAGCAGATGCTTCATTCACCCCCCCCACATCCTCTGAAGCACCTTTCGGAGACCAAATCCAAAATTCTGTACAGCCCTATAGTGTATCAGGCTTGTAAAAATCCACCAGTTTGAACATCTGTGGCAAGTAAGTTTTACTTCAATGTAATTAAGAAGAAAATCTTTATCAAACATAGTTCATTTAAAAAAAATATATTAGCACCATTTTTAAATCACTAAGATAGCCAAGCCTGGGCAAGACCACAATACATTCTCCCTAGAAACTTGAATCTTGAACTTCAGTTCATTTTCTTCTATTCAAATCTGGACTAACAGTTTCAATTCTTCATCAAGCCAATGATGCAACCATGTTTCTTGTATGTGTTGGACTACAATAATTATAATTTGCAGCCAATATGGGTGGACATTAGATTACACAAAGTTGTATTACAGTGCTGGACTAGGACTCAAGTAATCCAGGTTCAAACTACCATACAAGCAAAGAATTTCACTCAGGCCAATTACTGTTACAATTTAAATTACTCTAACAACCTCAGAGATTAAGATGAAGATAAAGTGGCTAAAGCTGGCTAACTTTGTTTTTGTTTTGTTTTTTCTGGCTAATGGATGCTGTTACACAGGGAACATGACCATGATGCGAACAGAAATAAGCACTCTGCAAACTCCCACATTAGCTCACTTACCAGTTTCCGAGCTCAAGCTTTTGGAAAAACGATATGAATTGAACGGCTTGGACTGATGGTTCACGCCAGATTCTGGAACTGGTGGTTTACTGAAATTAGAGGGAGTGGCTGAGGATGCTCCATAGAGATCTTCTGCACTTAGCAACCTTGTGAGATTGGTAGTTCCAGCTCCCAACCAACCATTTGGATCTATTGCTCCTGATGGTGCTGGGGGCCATGGATGATTTGAATGGGCCACACTGGCATTGTTGTGACTAACACTTAATTCAATATTTTGAGGTCTTAGGTAAAACTCTGGTGTCTGAGGTGCAGCCGGAGCTTTGGCAAATGGGTCGTAGGATACCTTCCTCCTTCTCCTCTCCTCTTCCTGTATTTGAACACTATGTGCAGCAGGATGACTTTCTGGCTTATCCATCCGGCTGCCATATAAATGGTAATTCAGTTCATCCTGTAATTTTCTTTGCAAGGTTGCTGGAGGCTCAAAGGCATTTTCACAGCTTTCTATAGGTTCGTTTTCTGGATATGGTGCAAACATGGCTTCATCTATGGCGTTAGCAGTGAGACCTTGAGAACTGTGTAAAGAACCAGGTTGGTCTGCAGGATAGATTAGAGATTTGATTTATTATCAAAGGTTTCATGGAAACATTCCAGTCGCTTTGTGAGATATCTTACTGATTGACCCTACTGAATGCTAGATTAAGATTTCAACCCAATATACCAGCTTTCCTCAACCTAGTGCCCTTTAGGACATTGGGATTACAACTCCCAACATTCCCTGCCATCAAGCCCTTTCCCATATCTTGGAATAAGTTCCACTGAATGTAGTAAATCTTATTAGTAAACAGATACTACATCAGCTCTTAGATATTGCCCCTGCTTCATGGCTCTTCTACCAGTTCAGCCAGCTTGGCTCAGGCAGAGATCTTCAGCATTGTCTGCTATTTTGACTGGTTCCTAATTCCAGTTTAACTTAACCTAGACCTCTGAATATTATATATCTGCTTTACTATGGAATATTATATATCTTTACTATGGAATATTATATATCTTACTTTTGCTACTGTGGCTTCTGATCAAGGTTCAAGATTGTCCTGTATATTCTGTGTTACAGAGTTTTTGTCATTAGAGTTACTCACAGAAATTTTGCAATTAAAATGTTTCCTAGCACGGTTGTAAGTGCCTGCTCCCTTATGTGCCAGTTCATCAAGAAAGATCTGAAGATGGCCCTTTCCAGGGCACCGCCTCTGAAATCGATTGGTAAGGGGCAAACTGAAAGAGGGCATTCTGAATTAAAATGTCCCAGACTTCAAATCCCTTCCATTTTAAGTTGTCATTGCAAACTTGGAATGTAACCTTTTCCAGGACTTTTGCTACTGTGGCTTCTGATCAAGGTTCAAGATTGTCCTGTATCATGATTTTCAAGGTATTGATGGTTGCATATATGTTATTTTCAGAGGGTTTGCTGAATTGTTTGTGGTTTAACTGTTGGCTGGGCATTGAGTCAGTGCCCCCAAACCCCAATCCTTATATCTGTTAGCCTGATCGTTTTCCCAGATGGGTACCTTTAAGTGTGGGCATATTGGTTGAGGAACAGCAGTCCTTTGTAGGGTTTAACAATATATTTTTAAAATATTTTAAAAAGGGCTTGAAAATACAGTAGCAGCCAGTGCAAGTAACAGCTCATTCCCACCTTGCTCAGGCAGGTGCATTTTGCTCCAGCTGAAGATTTTGTGGTGGGGGGGGGAGGAAATGAGAAGCAGTCATAGTGGGGTTACATAGGAACCACGCCTAGGAACATAAGCAAATACAGAGATTTCTGCCAGTCACAGTCAGAGGCTCTGAAAACAGTAGCCAGTAATGAGGGATAAGAATAATAATTGAAAAGCTCTAGGTGGCTCTTCAGTGAAACTGCAGCTGCGTAATGCGGAGTCCCTGTCCCATTCTAGTCTGAAATAGTAGGGGTTCTGGATTCTGCAATAGAACTGCTTTCCCCATGTATATATTGTTATCATGTAATACATATGACTTCTGATTGCTAAGGGAATATGATCAACTCTCAGTTTGTGGTTCCAGTGGTGATGAATCTGCCAGAGATTCTACAGCTGTGAGAGCCCATACTATAATGAAAAGATGGGAATGATCAAAAGATGAGTCATTAAGCAACCAAAATGAATTAGTTATACCAGCCTGTGCATGGATTTTATCTTCTACTGAACTTGTTCTTTAAGAGTCTGCCATGACAGAAGTGTGCTAGGTAAAATAAAAGCGATGTGTGATAGCATCTTCCCCTCCCTAAGGAGCTCTAATTAGTGACAACAAGATTATAAAATAGACACAGGTCTATTTTATAATCTTACAGGTTCAGAAATGTTCATTTTCCTAGGCATTGAAAGTTGCATCTTGAGTCTCTAATATAGTTTTGAGTCTCTAATATAGTTTTAGTTGTAATGTCATAACTGTTATTGTCAGGCATCCAGATGCCCCTGGAATCTGTTGGACCAACAATAGTGTAAACTGGGCATAAATAAAGTTAAATACCTGATCGAGTTCTGCTGGGAGGTTCTGAGACAGCATCTACTTGGAGAGACTCCATCCGTTTTATAACTTCAGTTGGTTCAGGATATATATCCTATTACACAGGACAAGAATAACAAAAAGTGATGAAACTGTAGGAAGGATGTAGCTTTTATAGGTCTTTAAGGTGCTTTCCAGAGGTAATCCTGTTCAGCTACACATTTGGTAACTTACTTTTAATTTTCTCACATGGTCTTCCACATACTCTTCAAAGTTTTGTTGGTAAAATGGTTGGTAAATCAAATTGATTTCTACAATAAAAGAATCAGTAAAATGATTGAAATAAAGATCAATAACACTGACAGTAGGAATGAGAGAGATGATTATGTTAAGTCTGCACTATTTTTATGGTTAGAATTACGTTGCTTTAGACTAGCATTTTCCCTAGAGTTCTGTAAAACAAAGGTTCTGGCATGATAGTTTTTCCCTAAAATTATTTTAGTCCTAATAGTTACATAAGTATATTAAATAATAGACCTGGTCTCTGTGATCCATAGGGCTATGTTTAATATGCAGATTTAGCCAGACACACCTTATGTGTTTGTAGATCATTTAAATCAAAATGTCTTGATACGGTTATTGAAGGGTGGGTGGATCTGTGCATATGCTAAAGCTCCATGTGGGGAAACCCTTCCATTACTTCCTGAAAATAGACTAGGTAGTAATGGAATGAGAAAAACAGAGTCACTGTATATATCTTGTTTTGTAGATTCGTATTTTTCAGGCAGAACCCCAAGGACTCCACAGTTCAACCCTGAGCTATACATATTCACCTCCAGAAGCAGAATGAGCAGAAATAATAAGTGTATCTAGAATCCTCATTATGTTACTAGGCTGCATTAGATTTATTCAAGGCAGAGATGTCGCTACATGTAGTTTTTAAGCTTTACGCTATATACTTGGAAGGTGGATGTAACACTGTGGTGGAGAAACTATTTA